CATTCCTGGCACAAAAAAAAAAACCCAAACAAACAAACAAAAAAAAAACCCACAAAAAAGGAGTAAAGTGTTGTCAACATTCTCAAAGAGGTGGGTAGGGTAGAAAGAAGAGGAAAGAAGGTGGACAGGATAAGTCAAGCAATACTGAGTTCCAGAAAGTGCTAAAGAGCAAAAGGAGATGGGTGCAGAATAGCGTGATGTCTGGCATCAAGCAGCTTGGAATGATGATTTAATGCTGTTTGCTGCAGTGCTGGTGTAGTAGCTGGTGCTGCTTAGAGTGCATTAGTGAGTGCATGATGTGAAACTTGGGATAGGACCAAATCACTTCAGCTCCTTTGCTGATATTTCTCTCGCGATAAATGTTTCTTTATCAACTGCCAGCGAAGTACTCAGCATCATTTTTGATCCCTGAGGAAGGTACTCATGTTCTGGAACAGAAACTAAGAGAAAGGGAGAGGACCAAGTGCCCTGGGAACATAGATCATGGAGTCATTTGGAATGGCAGTTGTTTAAAAATGCTACAGGAAAAATGTAGACTGTTCTTTGTTTTTGTCATGAGTCAGGTAAACTGAGATCTCAGGTGGAGTAGTTTATAGAAAAACACAATGTTATTTTCATTTTTCTGTTTTAGGATATTATCTCAAGATTAGATGCTTCAGTAGGACCTTTGACCGACATGAGTCCTGTGATCCACTTCTGAGCCAGGGACTTAGGCCTGTGCAGGTAAGATGGAGACAGAAAGCTGAAATGAGTAAGATGTAAGTGGAATTTTAATGCTAGCTACTGTATTATTAAATTTAGATCCAGAGAAATTAGCAGCTTACTACTGCAGTAAGCTTCTTTGGTGATGGGTAATGAGCACATTAGTATATCAAAGGAAAAAGGCTTAGGAGGGGTGAACTGTTGGTATGCTGAAGGCCTACTAGTCGTAGGCAGAGTAACTGAGAGGCTCTTTTAAAGGAGTTTGGACCAGGTAACAGCAGAAGAGGAGGTTTTACTCACTGTTCTCCTGTGGTTGTTATTCAGGTCTTGCTGCCCACTCTCCTTTCTCTTTTGTGCTTGTCCTCATATGGAGTGGGCATTCTTCCCTGCTTTACTTTATGTCTTTACCTTGGAACAAATGAATTTTGTTTGTTTGTTTTGTTTGGGTAATTTCCTGGTTTTCATGAGTTCAGGAAAAGGTTCAACAAGTATTAGAGCAGGACAAGAATGTGGGATTGAAAAGTGGGGAAGGGAGGAAGTGAGGGTGTAAAATTGGGTCATCCTGTCTTGTGAACCATAGCTTTAGTTTGCTTTACTTGAAAAAGATAAAAAGGGACTGAGTCTAATCAAATAGCTTTGTGGGAACATGCTATTTAAGATCAGGGCGTTCTACAGTCAAGACTTTCCAAGGTCTGTTTCATCTGGGAAATCTGTGTTCAGATTTAATTTAAAATATCTCCCACTTTTGCTGTTGAAGGCGTTTCCTTGCCATACCAGTACAATCAGAAAAAAAGGATTTCCTGGTTTTGTGTGAAGATTGAACATACCCTCATGCTATCAAAAGATGCAGGTTTTTACTCCAGAAAGACTGTAGCAAATTCTGTGGGTAGTAACATGTGTTATGTCCAGTAACTTAGTAATAGAGGACCTCTGCCATCTTAAAAACAAGTCTTTCCCCACTGTAGTGAGCATTTGGTTTGGATTTTTGTTTTTGTAATTTTACACTTATTTTACAGTTACATTTGGGTGTACAAAAAAAAAAGAAAATATATCTATTGTAATGATGCAGCTCTGAAGTTTTAAAACAGATGCTAGCAGATAGATGGGTGCAGTTTCTAAATCAGGGACTGGATGGAGGTCTGAGCAGGCATTTAAAACATCTTGGGGAGGCTTGAGACCAGCCCTTGACTGGATGGTACTCTCAGTGTTCTGAAACCAAAGAAGTGTGGCTGAGGGCTGTAAGAAACGAAGTTCCATTTTATTTCTCACCCTTTGGTCATGCATTCTTTACTCCAGCTCTAAATCTTGGGAGAGCTGCACTTTGTCTTTTCCATCTCACAACTCTATATTTCAAACTTTCCATTGACCAGTACCACATGGTACAAATGCTAGCCCTGAACATTTCAGATGTCACTTCCCTGAAAAATAAGGACTTCCTCTTTTTCTTCTTTTACCCAGGAAAATAGTCAAGAATCTGTCCAGTTAGAGGATCTTGAAATGTAGTAAATTTTTTTTCTTAAAAGAAATTTTAAGTGAATTTGAATGTCTGTACTAATTCTAAGAGTCTTAGAATGCCATTTTTACTTTCTCATCCTAGTTTATTTTTCCCCTTTGTTCTTGTATGGAAGTACCCATTGACATGGTAATGGTCATAAGGTAGGCATGGAAGTGGTGTGTATCCACAGTGGTATCAAAAACAAATGTAAAAAAACTTGAACAAATAGACATGTTCTTGTTTCTTTGTGTCTCCAGTTACAGCATCATAAAAAGTTGCAAAATCTCCAAAAAGTTGAATTGTTGAAGTTACATGGAACAACAGTAGTCTAGAATTTTTCATAGAAAAGTGCAGTACTTCATTTCTAAATACTTATGTAAGGGAAAAGGTCAAGATTTAAAGTTATTTGACTTCAAATAATAGAAGGCCATATTCAGTCTCAGACAGTGCAGCTCTTTCCACAGGAATAGGAAGTTGCATGTGTATCCTGGTTGAAGGTTAACACTGAACTCCAGTCGGGAAATGTGAAAATAGTGTTATTTACAGTAACTTCTTTTTACTTCTATAAGATACAATTAACTTTAACTTGTAAAAGGAAATTTTTTTTTTTTTCAGAAAGCTGGCACAAGCAGTTCTTAAACACCTGTTCCCTATAAATTCTTGGCTGACACCGCTCAGTTAAGCTCGCCTGGATATGCCAAATTATCGCCTAATAACTGTATGGCTTTACAACCTTTCTATTTCCCCCTTTCAAAAAAAAACCAAACTCAGCATCTAGTCACAATTGACAGTAAAGCGTGCATGAGTTAATGGGCATATCTGCTTTAGATTCTTGAAAGTACCTACCCAGAAAAGCAGATGAAGGAAGTGAATGTTTCCACAGTGTCCAGGTATGGACTTTTGCTCATGGTGCTGTCATTACCTAACCAAAATACGCTGTGTGCCCATGAAGAATTGATGGAATCTAGTAGGATGTGTAAGGTTGTGTCCAGTCATATCTGCTGAAGTCTGTGCTGACTCTTGGCTTTTCAGAGACTGAAATCCAAGTGCAGATTTGAGCAAAGAGAAGTACGTCCAGCATAGATACAGGTACAACTTGACATCGTCTTGCATGATGAATTATGCACAGGGAAAACGCAAGTTCATGGGCTTCAGTTCAGGAACTTCCTGAAGTTGGTTATCCAAAATTGGGCTATATTAATTCCCCACAGTAACCATACATTAAAAACAGGAAAAAAAAAATTAGAATTAAATAAACATGTTTTGCTGCTGTCAAACATCACTATGGTGTCAGCATAGTTGCAAAGTGTTTAAATTAACAAAACAGATCTTCCAGCCTGAGATTGATTAATGAGGTTGTTGAGAATTTAATTCTGTGCCAAACTGATCTTACACTCCCTATACAACCAGTTAAAGAACTGAGCTCTGGCGTTAGTCGGTGAAAGTAGACCTATATTCAGGAGTCTGAAACCTATTCTCTCCTCCCCCTGTTTCTGTAAAGTAAGAGCATGTGAGTGAAGTGGATGGGCCTGGCCTCCATGGCTCAAGGTCTAATTTAGATGCCTAAAATTAGGCAGTTGTATCCTGTTGTTGCAGGGATCCTGTTGTTGTATCCTGAGGTAAGGAATAATAATACCCTTCCATTAAGATTGCTACGTGCAGAATTAGATTTCTTTTTTTTTTTTTTTTCCTTTCCCCAAAGTGGGAAGGAGTTTTGAAATATATATTCAATTTAAATAAAGGAAAGATATGGGACTAAAGTTGCTGTCCATTCCTCCAACTTCTTAGGCAAAATGTTGAGATTCTGTCCTCAGGTAATGGTAACAGCATATTGAATTTTTTCTTTTCAGAATATTTGCTTTTTCTTCCCCAGTCCCATATAGTCACAGAAATATTTTAATCCTTTTCATCTTACATTCCAATTCAACACATTCCAGTTATGATAAATTCTAGGAATCAGATATGCTTAGAAATCTGAGGTGGGAAAAAATGCATGTCAGAACTTTTCCAGTCTTCTAATATGTAGAGAGTGGTACTGAGACCCAGGGCATTCAAGGTCTTTTGAGCAGAAGTTAAACTGCTGAAGATGATGACATGAAGCACTGCTTGGCTCTGCCTGCATGAGGGAAAGAAAGGTGGGAGAGGAGTGGAAGAAATTTGCTTGCAGCTGTTTCTGTATAATAAATATTTCCAGATTAATCTTGTCTGCTTGTGAACTCAAAGCAGATAAGACAGATAAATAGTTTATATAGCACTGTGAATCAACATGTCCTAAAAATCCATGCTGGAGTTACTGAATATGCTGTATAGAAAGATGGGGTTTATATCCCCATAGGATATAGATATAAGTCTACTTGCAAAATCAGAATCAAAGCTGGAAGTTTGACTTTTCTAGCTGAGAAGGTCTACCCATCATTATTTTTGAGTTTAAAGAGGTTGAAGTCATGTTAAATTCTCGTCTGTTAGATGAGAAATGTCCAAATGCAAGAGTTTCAGGTCATAAAACAATTGGCATATTCTGGGGAAAGACTGCAAAATTCTTTAATCCTTTTATAGTGCAAAGAGAGAATACAGAGGAATAATATCCACTTGTTTTTTAAAGATCTTATCTTCTATGGAAGTGGTGATACCAAGTGCCCCTTCACTTGAGTACTCTACATGTTTAACTTAGAGCACTGAATGCTTTTTGAAAACAAGCCCCAATTATCAATTTGAAAATTATTAAAATATGGAAATTAAAAACTTATAAGGGGCCAATTACCAGATTCTTACAGAGAATCCAAAAATAGAAGATCTTACCTCTTTATGACGTGTGTTTTTTCATAAGACTGTCAAAAATTATAAGGCATGTTCTCAATTCCATTCGAACTGCTTCCCAGGAACAGTGGCTGTATTGCTTATCTTTTAGGAAACTGGTGATTCTTTGGAAGTACTTTTTCACACTGAGTGTAGTGCTTTTTAGGATCCGTGTTCGAAAGCTGTTTCTTGCTTTTGATCGCTCTTCTGACAAACATATCTCTAATTCTTCAATTTGCTGGTGAATTCCATTTTGGAATTTCTCAGTCTTGCTTGTATTCCAAGCACCAACAGGAAGATTTTTGCTAAATAGTTGGAAGATCTGTTGGAGGAACTCATAGATGATCATTGTGACATTCTTCTGTGTGACCTTGGTAATCTCCTTGGGGAATCTGAAATCATTTGTTTCGCTGAGACATTGCTGAGAAAAATAGCCACCCATTTTGCCCAGAAAGTTCAAGTTGTGGTAATTCGCTTTGATTCCTTGGAAACGGCAAACTGGATGTGAGGTTTTGATGTACAATGCCAATGTAATGCAAACTTGCAGTAAATTTCTCTGAAGCAAGATGGTCATGCTGATAAAGTAGTCAGCCCTATTTTCATTGCCTTTTTGCAGATCCATAAGCTTGCAGTTTCTTGGTTGTCTTGTCTGTGTTCAAATGCTTCTCTTTCATGTCTCTGAATTTATTTCCTCTGTGCGATATGCTGGCTATTACTCATTTTGTAGGAATTGCTTTTTTGTCAACTGTGATCCTGCCAAGGTTTACTCATTATTTCAAACAGTTGCAAAGGTTTGCTCATTTCTGCTTTGACTGTATTTAATTGAAAAAAAGAGTAAGTGAATATATCTGCTCAGTCAGAGGACATGGACAGATTAGCAGGTTAGAATCTGGTAAGGGCATTTTGTCTTCTCATATTCTTATGCTGAGATTTATTCTCATGCATGTATTTGTGCTGAGAAATTTTACTTTTATGCCTAAGTTGGCGAAGACTGTGAAAAAGAATCACATCCCCAGATACGCAGATATGTGCTCTAAGCAAGATGTAATTTTATTGATTTAAAAACAAATGTCTCTTTTTGGTAGGACAGATTGTTTTGTTTGGGGAGTGGCTTAAATTTTATGAGCAAAATAACCCTATTGTTTACAGAAGCATAGAGTCTTTAGGGGCATATGTTGTTATCAGTACATTGGCAAAAAAAGAAGTATATACAACTCTAAAGAGATGCCTTTTTCTCCAAAATCTCTGACAGTTTGCTGCCGGAGAAGCTTTCTTCTACTTCATCACTTGATGAATCAGCCTAAAGTTTTAGACTGTAGAGGAAAGCATGCTTTTGTATAAAGAATAGGAATTCCTTACATTTCAGAGTGGGAAAACTTGTGTTCTGAAGCCTCCTCCTGTGAAGCCAAGCTCTCAAGGAGACTGAATTTACTTGTGTTCGTAGAAAATGTCGTATCATCAGGCCACCCCAGCCAGCGTAATGCTGGAATGTGTCTCCCAGTGTCTGGCCAGTGTACTTCTCTGAATATCAAGTCTTTGGGCTGTCTTGTAGTAGGACTGCAGTTAGCCACCAAAACAGTCTCAGACTTTTGTGATGACAGTTCTGAGATGGTGCTACATAAGCACTGTGGCTTGAAACAAAAGTGCTTAGTTGGTTCCTGAATATGCACTAGTCAAGTACTATGTTTCTAGGTACTGCTGGCTCCTAGTGCAGTACCAACCCTTTTAACTGGTTTCTGTAATCACAATATGAGAACTTACTGGTGACTAAAAAGGAAAACTGGGTTGAATATTAAGATAAGCAAAAGTTATGAGGCATTTAGCAGGCAGATTTGCTTCCCTTCTTGTGGGAATCTTTAAGGATTGCTAAATCTATATGTGAACCAAACTGATCTGGTCACTGAAGTGTACAGTTAGAAAGCCGGGGGACATGCACTTATGTAACTCAGCCTGAGTAATTACAAGGACATTTGAAAAAGAATATGGAAAATATTGAAGCTCAGGAATGTTTAATGTAAGCAGCAAAGGAACTCCTGGAGGCTCTTGACATTAGAAAGTATTTTGTCAAAAGAAAAAATAAATCCTGTTGATACTTGGGAGGACCTGTTACAATGTGACAGACTGACAGTCTGATAAGGCTAGGCATTTTCTTTAGCAAGCCACAGGATGACTTCAGCAGTTATGCAGTACAACCCTACTAATATATTAACGTTCCTGTGGTTATTCTTCTTGTTTTTCTACTGCTGATGCAAATGTAGTAATATTTGGTATTGTCATAATTTATCAACACCCAGAGATCTTCAGAGAAGTTAATTTATGAATGAAATTGTGGGGAGGATGATTTTGTATTTGAAAGACTGGACAGAGAATCAAGACGGCTATGACAGGTTTAATACATGGATTTGTCACAGTTATGTTTTGGTGAGACGTTGAATTGCTTTCAGTTCTTAGCTTTTTTTAAAGACAGGATTATTACGTTTCCCTTGCTTTTTGTTTGCTGTATCTGTTTACAGCACGTTTAAGGTATGTGTGACTTCCAGTATGAACGGGATCTAAACTTAGTTGGAGGTCCTGCCTTTGTTATAAATTTTAAAAATTTTTTTAAGCCTGTGCACATATTGAAATGATTTAAGCTAAACTGTAATTAGCATGCAGTGTTAACATGTAGTGTTAGGAAGATCAGGCTACCTAATTGAAATATAGTGTAATAAAAGGTTACTGAAGCTTACGCTAGAGGGATAACTATGTGTTTTCCTGAAATCAGATCCATTGCAAAAGATCCCAGGACACGGAATGCATTTATTAGTCATTACACACAGTCTAAAGCAGCAGCAGGTGTGTTTATGACTTTTTTTTTTTTTATATATATTTTATTTTGTGCTAACACACAGTTTGTGTTTAGTTAACACAAAGTTAGTGCTAAAAAAGGCAGAAGAGCATTTCTTTTTAAACTGAGAAGGTTACAGTGTCAGAAAATTCTGGCTTTAATGGACTTGACTGAGTAAAATGAAATTAAGTAACGGACTGAATCAGATCTTGATGCATGGCTGGAAGCATATAGTGAGAGATTAGTTATGTATGCCGAGCTGAAACAGGTTCAATCAAGGCATCATATGTGAATAAATCACATCAGATTCATGTCTAGGTTATGGCTACAATAATCACATCAAGAATGTCTATACAGTAATGCTTGAGAGATCAGAGTCTAATCCAAAAGCTTTACCATCATGAACATGTTTTTAATGTCTGGTCACAGTTTTGACAGTTCAGTTCAGAACTAAATGCTCATTCATCTTGCCTCTAATTTGGTTCACTCTTTGCAGTAAAATTGTCAGTACAGAATATCAATTGGGTGTACATATGCATGGCTCTGTTGCATTAAATGGAATGACATCGATTTTAAATCAGCTGAGGACCAGTCCTTCATCTGCTAAAGCAATATGACAAACAGCTTAGTGCTGCATGGCAAAGCTGGATGTGATTCACTGTTAAACAGTTTTATTGTGTTTACACACTGGAGAGCAGAGTTGCATTTGCAGTCATGCCTTGTTTTCCTTCCATTGTGATTTCGTAGGTGATCCATGACCTATTTGAATGTTGTGGAAAAAAATACTAAAATTTCAAGGGGAGATTAAGAAATAATTGATAGTCTTTTAGTTGTTATTGGAGAAACTGAAGAAATTTTCTTTTCTCAGAAAAGGCAACAGGGGAAAATGCATTCACAGTCAGTTCTAGATGAATTGTAGAGCTGATTGTAAGTGGGGAAGGAGATATTTATGCAGGAACCTTTTGGCCATGATTAGAGATCAGAGCCCTGTTGACTTTGTGCTGCTTGTTGTATTGGGTTTGCATGGATAAGTTTTGGTAGCGGGGGGGTTACAGGGGTGAGTTCTGTGAGAAGCTGCTGGAAGTTTCCCCTGTGTCCGATACAGCCAATGCCACCTGGCTTCAAGACAGACCTACTGCTGGCCAAACCCATCAGCGACAGTGGTAGTGCCTCTGTGATAATGTATTTAAGAAGGGGTAAAAGATGTGCACAACAGCAGATGCAGAGAGGAGTGAGGATGCGTGAGAGGAACAACTCTGCAGACACCAAGGTCAGTGAAGAAGGAGGGAGAGGAGGTGCTTCAGGCACTGGAGCAGAGGTTCCCCTGCAACCTGTGGTGAAGGTGACAGTGACGCAGGCTATCCCCCTCTAGCCCATGGAGGTCCACAATGGAGCAGATATCCACATGCAGCCCATGGAGGACCCAATGCCAGAGCAGATGGATACCTGAAGGAGGCTGTGACCCTGTGGGACGCCAATGTTGGAGCAGGCTCCTGGCAGGACCTGTGGCCCTATGGAGAGAGGAGCCCGCACTGAAGCAGGTTTGGTGGCAGGACTTGTGACCCCGTGGGAGACCCACGCTGGAGCAGTCTGTTCCTGAGGGACTGCAGCCTGTGGAAGTGACCCATGCTGGAGCAGTTCATGAACTGGAACCTGTGGGAAGGACTCATGTTGGAGAAGTTGGTGGAGGACTGTCTCCCATGGGCGGGACCCCACGCTGGATTAAAGAGTGTGAAGAGTCCTTTCCCTGAGGAGGAAGGAGCAGCAGAGACGTGTGATGAACTGACCACAACCCCCATTCCCCATCCCCTGTGCTGCTGTGAGGGAGGAGGTAGAGAAATTGAGAGTGAAGTTGAGCCCATGAAAAAAGGAGGGATGGAGGGAAGGTGTTTTATAAGATTTGGTTTTATTTCTCATTACCCTATTGTGATTTGATTGGTAATAAAGGAATCTTCCCAAGTCAAGTCTGTGTTTTGCCTGTCACAGTAATTGCTGAGTGATCTCCCTTATCTCGACTCAGCAGCCTTTTATTACTTTTTCCCTTCCCTGTCCAGCTGAGGAGGGGAGTGATAGAGTGGCTTTGGTGGGCACCTGGCATCCAGCCACGGTTCAAGCCACCACACTTATCTAGGGACAAATAAAGTTGATTGCTTCCCAGGGAAGCTGAGTGATCTGTAGCAGCACTGTGTGTAACTTCCATACTTTGAGGTCACAAGTTTTATGCACGTGAAGATTACCTTTTCTAAATTGAAACTCTCCTTCCCTGAAAACATGGAGAGGAAGAAGAGATATACATGTTTTAACCTTGTAGTGCAAACCATCCACCCTTAGACCAGTCTCCTCACACTGACACTTTCTTGGTCATTTTCTCATTGCTGACTGTTCCTGCAAACATGGAAATACTTGCCCTATGTGAATGAGAAGAATGGTGTGAGCGAGCAAATTGGGAGCTATGAATCTATGCTTTTGTTTCAGTGCTTCAGGTTTTTCTAAGCTTTATATTACATTTTTTTCTCTTAAACACCACTCTGGAGTTTAGTCTAGCGACATAGAATTGCTGGAAGTAGCATTTTTTTTCTCTAGTGAGATAAAATATGTGTGTTGGTTTGTTTGTT